AAAAAAAACGTTTACATTTGCGAATCTGAGTTCAAGCTAGCTCTTAGATTGAACAACAAGGTTTAAAAAAGATTTGGATATGAAATAGTCATTAATGGTCAAACTGTTATCACATTTTTTGGGACAGAACTAGAAAAAGGGAGTACAGCAGTCAGCGTCATAATTATGAGATTTGCTAAAAATATTGTAAAACGTTTCCTTTTTCTATTTCCTTTCTAAGATATGATTCATCTACATAAGCGGCAGCACGAAAAAGTTCAAAATTAGTTCTTAAAAAGCTTCATAACCCCTATTGGCATACACTTTCAGAACCAAAACTGATTTTACTAGCGATCCAAGGAACAACTCAAAAACACCTACCGTCAGGGTCTCTTCCCGGTCTGTTCGCAAGGCCAACCATATGCAGAACATCCCCAATCGGATAATCTTCATATACGTGATACTTTCCGTTATAGAACTGCGTGTCCATAATTACCACAAGGTAAGCAAACATACTAATTTGATAGCACATCGTTCGAGGAATGATGCACACCTGTACAAAGATTTCAAGAGTGATCCAAAATTTGTTGGTGTCATAGTCAAACTCCTTGCCTGAATTGCTCCACTCATGAAAAGTCTTTCAACAATTTGGAAGTCCTTGGCATGTGTGCCTTCATGAAGAAAACCAACGCCACAAAGAAGAGTTTCTTTTAAAGTTTGGTCCTAAACGTCAGCTCTCATATACACTGTTCTGCAGGAAAAAAAATAACTTACCTGTAGCGAGTTCAATAATTTGACAAAAGTCTCATCTGTCTCACTGATGTGTAAGAATCGCTGCGGAGCCCCATCTGCGTGGGCCATTGTCAACATATCAATCGCAGTAGAACGCGACTGTCGGCGACCGGGAACAAACACCTAAAGTGAATATAAACCGCTTCCATAGTACATTTGATCAAAGCTTTCACAACTGAAGAGCAGAAAATTTCATCGGATGAGGCATAAACGTACAAGCGCTGGCTTTGGATTTAGTTTTCCTGCATGGCGGCTAATAGCCTGGTAGACAGGACGCACCATTGCAGCGAGGCGAGAAGCCGTGTGAGACAAGTTGAAACCCTGAATGCCGTTTGAGATTTTTAAGAGAAGCTAAAAATTGATGAGTTAGTTCATTTTCTCTATATGGCCATCCGGAAAC